TCCAGAAGAATAAATGGTTACCACGCATTTATCCTGATTCCTAATAATACATTTCAAAATAAAATTGGCTTTGCTTAACAGCTCCCAAACAGAAGTGTGCTGGGCCAGATTCTGAACTTCATCACCAATGTCACACATGTATGGATGAGGATGTTAACACTGAGGTGGGAGTACACACTTGGCTTCTCAATCAGTTGTGTATATACTCTGATAATCCCAAGAAAAATTACAGACCCATAAAAATGCTTTATTAAAAAAAATGTTAAGATTATTTTTGGCCAAACATATGGAGATCTGATTCAGCTTTTAATTTTCAGTGTGGTAACTTTGGAACTCTATATCTGATCAGCTCCAAAATTTCGGGGAGTGTTCTGTGCATCAGTGAACAGAAATCTGTTCATCTTGAGGCAAAGCAAATTGCCAGAAAGCTGGCTTCACAGAAGCATCAGGGTCATAGTTTCATAGTTGTTAGGGGCTGGAAGGGACCTTACAGATCACTGGGTTCAGCCCCCCCTGCACTTGGACAGGAAAGACTGCTGGGAGCAGATGACCCCAGCAAGATGGGGGTCAAGATGCTTTCTGAAGATCACCAGGGTGGATAACTGTACTACCTCTGGGGGGAGTCTGTTCCAGCTCCTTAGCACTTGACTTATAAAGAAGTTTTTCCTTATGTCTAACGTAAAGTGATCCTCAATCAGCTTGTGCCCATTATTTCTTGTCATCCCTTGGGGGGCCTTGGTGAACAGATGCTCTCCCAGGCCTTGATGTACACCCTTAATATACTTATAGGCTGCCACCAAGTCCCCTCTGAGTCTTCTCTTCTCCAGGCTGAACAGTCCCAAGTCTTTCAGCCTTTCCTCATATGACCCGCTCTCTAGGCCTCTAATCATGTGTGTGACCCTTGTTTGGACTCTCTTGAGCTTCTCCACATCCTTCCTGAAGTGCAGCATCGAGAACTGGATGTAGTTTTGCTTTTCATACCTGAATCCAAATCGTTGATGAATATATTGAAAAGCACTGGTCTGAGTACTGAACCCTGAGGGACACCATTGGTCATCCTTCGCCATGACGACTCAGGTCTGTCAATCAATACTCTTTAGGTACTACCACAGAGCCAGTTACCTAGCCATCGGACCGTAAAGTAGTTGAGGCCTCATTTTCCCAATAATTTTTCATGAGAACTTCGTGGGAGATGAGATCAAAGACCTTTTAGAAGTCCAGGTATATGACATCAGCCTCATTTAGGTGGTGAGTAACCTGATTGTAGAAGGAAATGAGGTTGGTCTGGCATGACCTACCCATAAGAAAGCCATGGTGGATATCCTTCAGAATAATGCCTTCTGGTAGCCTGCCTGTAATGGTTTCTTTGATAATTTTTTTCCAGGATTTTACTAGGGCTCGAGGTCAAACTGATTGGCCTGTAACTTTCCAGGTCCTACTTTCTCCCTTTCTTAAAGATAGGCACATTGGGCTTTTTCAATCTTCTGGGATCTCTCCTGAGTGCCACGAGTCTTCAAATAATTTTGCCATTGGTCACGTGATGACATTGGCCAGTTCTTTTAGTATCTTTGAGTGTAGGTCATTTGGTCCTGCTGGCCACCCTCTGCTGCTACCTACAAATATGAGGCAGCAGTTTAACTTGCTGCTTGAGGACATTCTGTAGTCTACACGCAAACAGAAATAAGAGCAAGAGTGTGTGGTGTTAAATAGACAGGGGGAACAGAGATCAGTAGATAAAATGATGGAAATAAGGAAGATTGGGAAGGGACTAGGGGCAATGGCAGTGAAGGTAGAAACAGAGATGCAGTATGGAATGAATGTGGCATTGCAGGGGCAGGAGGGAATAAGGCATAATAGTCATTATGGAAGCAAGGGATCCCTAGAGCAGGAGGCAGGAATGGGGGGATGCTGTGTGCAGCTTGTCAGCAGGAAACAAGCAGAAGGGGGCATCCGAAACCTTCTCTTTGAAGCTCAGGGTCCTGCCCTTGGGGGCCACAGTCCTTTCCTAAGGATTAGTGTTACAGCTGCTCTTCAAAAGAATGAACCTCTCACCCTTTTCTTTCATCACACAGCTGGAGGATGTGATGGTGCTGCCCACCCTTTACATAGAGATGAGAACTCATTCAGGAAGTGGGTCCATTTCTCTCCTCACCCTAAAGGATTTCAAATTCACCTCTCCCACTCGCAGGCAAATACCTAAAGCAACAGTCTATAGTATGTGGTAAGGAAGGGAGCCCTCTACCCCTCCTGGTGAAGTCATGCTAGGGCAGAAAGAAATGCCATTCAGTGAGGTGGAAGGAAAGCAGGGATGAAAGCAGGGTGAGCCTGTAAGCCCAGTGCGCAGGCAGGGCGCTGTCCAGTTCTAGCTGCAGTCGGTGCTTGAAAGCCACCGTCCCCCGCTGAGCAACAGTCAGCCTCCCAAGCGTGCTGTCTTCCTAGCCCCATTAAGCTTCAAGGCATACAAAAGACTAGAACTCTTGGTTCCAAAATGATACCTTTTATTAGACCAAAGGAAAATGGCAAGAAAATTGTCCTTTTCTGCAAGATTTGGGAACAAAGTCCCTTCATCAGGCTCTGAGAAAAGTGTAGATGGTACAAGATGGTAAAAAGTGCCCATAGGTAGGAAAAAACCTTCATTTTTGCACAGAGGGAGCTGAAGGTGGAAGGCTGTCCCTCTGGGTCCATGGGAGTGTCTCTGTGAGCTGTGTTGAGTAGCTCTTTGATGTGTAGCTTTTTGTATGTCTTTTTGTCTCAGACCCACACGGCTACCAAGTACACCCATTAAGCTTCATTCCTTTTTGCATGTGGCACAGCTTCAGCAGCAAAATCCCCCACTTAGCGTAAGCGCTCCTCTGGGAAGTGGCAAACATGGGTTTGAACCCCTGAAGCAGAGGGGGTAATTCAACCCAGATCTCCGACTGCCTGGGTAAGTACTTGGAACATGACGTTACAAGGACAATGGCAGCAATTCTTCCTTCTCCTCAGGAGGCTGTTAAAAATTAAGCAGCCAAAGATGCAGACTGTGGTGGGCCCAAACTTGGCAGTGTGGGAGGGGAGCTTAAAGCAGAGTTGCTGGGAGCTTAAGTACAATTGCTGGGTCAGACCCCGGCAGGTACTTGGAGACCACCGAACCTGGTTCCTAGAGCCCAGTGGGGCTTAAGTAGCAGCTAATCACTTAAGTACTCCAAACAAAGCAGGTGCCACATGCACACCTCTAGTTCAGAGAAATATCTACTGAGTGGGATAAATCTTAGATGACAGTTTTGGACTTAAGTACTGGGGCTGTGTAAAGCTTCAGTCCCTGATTCGATTTGGAGATTCAGCCCAATTCGGTGGCGGAATCTCCAATGTGAATCAAATCAGGAGACCCTTTACTCTCTCCGAATCGATTTGGAGAAAGTCAGAAAGATTTGGCAATTCAGACAGACACAGCCTTAAATGTTTTTTCTATATACCTCAAGGTACCAGGCAGCTCATGAATGCTGCGATGGTGGGGCAGATGGAGCATCCCACAGGAGCGGGTGTGGCAGCAGTCCCCAGCACACTCAGCAGCAGACCCAGAAGTGGACCACAAACACTCCTCATCCACTTCCAGGTCCGCCAG